CTCTTTGCACGAGGTGGTCTCCTTCGTTGCTCAAGGTTTTCTCTCTCTTTGCACGAGGTGGTCTCCTTTTTTACATGAGGTGGTCTCTTTCTTTGTATGAGGTGGTCTTCTTCGTTGCATGAGGTGGTTATCAGGTTTCTCAAGAACCAGATAATGATTGTAATGTATGTTTTACCAGAACAGGTCAAATGGTTAATGATTCGTACCTTAATGGATCCTTATGAAGTCCAAGGACCCCAAAGCACTTTTCACCACATTCAGTGTCTTTCCAAACAAACACAATGATGACAATGGCCTCAACCCAGCAACCTGCCAATTAAAGGACGAACCTTAACCCCCTGAGCTGTTCACCTAAAACTTGGAGAAAGCTTCTTCAGAAGACTGTTGCTCAACCATGGAGGGACTTTTGTAGTAAAATATGGCAGGCTGTTTTGACATTTATTAAAAGCGCTCTCACATTGTTGTTCCATTTGTAGATCACTAAAAAAATAGGATTCTTCCTTGTCAAAATCACAATCCTACTAGTCAGAACTGTAAATATAGATCTTCCCAATTAAATTTTTACCAGGATGATGTAAAAAAAAAATGGAACTTGTAAAAATGAAGTTTCAGATGCTTAAAAAAATTTTAAAATTTTAAGTGACCATTTTGACATTTGTGAGTTTGACTGAATATGTATTTCAGACATATCAAATATGTTTCTTCCTAATCAAATAATAATTTGAAACATCTAAAATAACATCACAATCCAAAATGAGCATTGCTGATGTTTTAAACTAAAATCTGACAGCTGCACAGTGGAACTACCTTTAGCACTATTGCCTTTCAGCAAGAAGGTTCTGGGTTCGGCCCAGGGTCATTCTTCATGCAGTTTGCATGTTCTCCGCTGGTTCTCCCCGGGTACTCCTCCCACAGTCCAAATATCCCCTTTACTCAATGAAATGACATTACTCCAATCTAAAACAAACATTCTGGATGTCCAATAATGAATTTCAGATCGCCAATTTTTACTAGTCATAGTTTTTATTTCAGATATCAAGAATCATTGACTAAGAGTAACTTACATATTTTTAAAGCTTTCAAACTTAAATTTAAGACTTTTGTAAGTTTTGCTTCTCTATTAATTTGAAAGCATTAATGGCGCTGGGGGTGGACTAACTGACAGTTTTTGATGTCAAGAACTGGATTTCTGCGATATTTTATTCATTTTTTTATCTGAAATTGTTATTATAAATAGAATTAATTTGATTATGGAGATCTGATATTAGAGTTCATCCTCGTCAGGTTTGGACATCCAGAATGTTTAGCTTAGACATGAAGAATGTTATTTTAGATGTCTGAAATGTTAATTTTGACTATGAAGAAATAAATTTGAGACATCTGGATGACATATTCAGTGAAGCTAAAAATGTCCAATAAACATAGTAATAATTAACTTTAGGATATCTAAAATGTTTATTTTAGATAAAAAGAATGTTATTTTAAATGTCTGAAATGTTTATTTTAGATAAAAGGAATGTTATATTAAATGTCTGAAATGTTTATTTTAGATAAAAGGAAATGCATTTGAGATATATAAATTTCACATTTAGTCAGGCTAATAAATGCCAAAATAGCCTGCCATAGCGCTCAGTATTCTGCAGTTTAATTAGAGACCTTTGTACCAAACCGGATGGTAAATCAAAACAATGATCCTATGGCAGCAAATACATGGCAGAGTGGCTGAAAAGGTTAAAGTCTTTGCTTTTACTGGTTGAAGGCATTAATTAATAAAAACATTTTTGCAGTATTTTTATTTTATTGATTTATTTATATATATTTTTTTTACAGTGTCCTTTCTGACAATGTGACAATAAGAATAATTGTCTTGATGCCAAAAAAGAACCCAACAGATTTTGGTTTCACAAGTAAAATTCATGCAGGCAGTATTACAGATTATATGGACACTGCAATGTAAGTAGAACAGGAAAGAAAAAACAGAAAAAAAATGAGAAAAGATAAAAGAAAGAGGATATAAAAGGGGAGATAATTATAAAACATCTTCAGTCTGCATCATCACCTGCAAAGAGGTGTAGAAAGAACATCACAACCAATGGTTATATTATAAGCATAGTATAAC